TCAACCTTGCTCACATATGCACACCTTGCAATTTCTCTGTCTATTTAATTCTTCTGTGCTTTCCTATAGGTCAGCTACATTATCCCAGAGAGAGGAGAGGAGTGATTAGCTCATTTATATCTAGATCATATCACTAGATCCATCCATATACTGTGTTCTAGGTGATTTCAAATATTCTTAGAGACTCTTCAAAGTGTAGGTAGGACTCCACTCAGTTTGTCAGGGTGTGGTCCCAAGAGGTGACCAACCACTGAGCAAGAACTCTCTGAGAATGAACTCAGGGCTCCATCCCCTCCTCATAACATGATATTAATCAATGGATTATGAAGGAGGGGGGTGATGGACTTAATATGCCATCAGAATTCCTCATGCATTTATATGAATAAAGATGTGGCTTTCATCTCTTCAATAGCATGTGGAGGACCAGGATTCCCTTATGGACATAAGAGGAAGCCCTTTCAACTCAAATAACCCTTTCACCAATATTATTCTGAAGATAATACATGAAGTTGGGTTGATTGAATCAAGTATGATTCATTACAATAGAGGAGACAAGTCTATATATAGAGAAAACAATGAAATAGAAACATGTGAAAGTAAAGAGAAAACCCATTGGGGGAACTCCCAAGGGGTATATTGAGTGGATATACATCTTCAAATGTATTATTTACCCAATAACAAATTTGTTTGACTATGTATTCATTGTTCAGGTGATAGTGATATGCTTATCTCCAACAGGTACATAGCATATGTAGTATTTATTCCTACCATATCTAATTTATATGTACATTCTGTTCTACATTTAGTTACATATGTAATCTATATGTAATTTTTTATCTGTTAGCCACTGCCCTCTGTTGGCAGGCTGACACAGTTGGACACTGTGCTTAGTTAAAACCTGGGAAAGTTCCTAGGGAGGTCACTGTGGAGGAAACAGAGATTTTTATCAGACATTATTATCTCCATCCCATACTCACTTTCTCAATTCCTTGGATCAAACAGGGTATTACCAAAACTTATGGGGTAGTCATGGGAACATGTAGCAACAATCCCTGTTCTCCCAATGATGGCCTCCCTAAAAGCTTTCCAGGGTTCTGCTTATTTACACATCTTTAATTTCACATGTTTCTATTTCATTGTTTTCTCTATATATAGACTTGTCTCCTTTATTGTAATGAATCATACTTAATTCAATCAACCCAACTTCACTTATTATCTTCAGAATAATATTGGTGAAAGGGTTATTTAAGTTGAGAGGGCTTCCTCTTATTTCCATAAGGGAATCCTGGTCCTCCACATGCTACTGAATAGATGAAAGCCACATCTTTATGATGGAAAAGACCACTCATTGCTCCTTATCCCATGGGTAACACTGCGGGAAAAACGGTGGCGTGAGCCCGGCTCGCGCCACCGTGACGAAAGCCATGGGTTTGCCCCGGTGTGACGTAAGCCAAATTTCGCGGGGTTGTCAACCCCGGGCCTGACGCCAGCCACTGGTTCGCTGAAGACAACCTTGACGCCAGCCACCGGTTCGCTGAAGACAACCTTGACGTCGGCCACTCATTTTTTACATACTCAGGCATAT